AAACACTTAATTTGTTTTTTAAAAATTTCTAACATGACAAGTTGAATTTTAATCTGGTATCGTACTGAAAGTACTGTACATATATAAAGTACTGTAGATATACATATATAGATTTCACCATAACATTGTAATATACGATTATCATTTATATTACAATAAATAATTTCTATGTAATTTTTTCACTAATTATTTATTTTTACTGAACAAAAATTTTCCGATACTCAAATTGCAATTTGACACGGAAACTGAAAGTGCATTCGAATGCACTCGATCAAAAAGTTCTACATATTCTGACGGCATTATTGTAAAGAATGACCGACTCATCTACCTAAGTGCTATTTGCAAATGTTTTGTAAAGATTATCCAATAATCTTTGCAAAACATTTTACCTATAAATTGCTTCATAAAAGTATATTTATATGTATAAATTATATAATTTGTAATAGTATTTGTGCTCATTGGTAATATTTGTAAGCGGCGGAAAGCAATTCGTGTGTATGGTGTGACGCAGTTGTGAGAGCCCAATTGTATTTAACTATAAACTTTTGCAAAATTATATAAACCAAATAAATAACGTTTTAAAATTTTTATTAAACGCTAAGAAACTATATAAATTTTTCTCAACAATTAATAAAAAGATGAAAGGATATGACTGCGTTATTTACCGCATTCACTTCCTTTCAAACACATCTTCGGTATGGTCACCAGGAACTTCAGCCGAAATTCGTCTATTTGCCACAACCTATAACATTACCAAAAAGGACAATAGAAAAAACGAGGATCCTCCCAATAAAAGGGAGGGATCGATGACGATGGTAATCCGTCATCATCGAAAGTTCGGCCTCGCCAGAGTTGCACTAGCGCTCGGCTACCTTACCGACACCGAAGATTTTTAAGTGACTTTCCTCCCTCTGACGACCCTCCCATCACCTGAATAGTCCGAATATCAAGATATCAAAACCTTGCCAAATATACCGAGTCCTTCCAGAGCCATCCATCGAAACTTCCAAATCACCAATTTGACGTGTCGTCAATTAAAGTCCTCAACCCGATTGGGAACGAAGCGCATCCTCAGATCCTCTACAATGTATTTATCCGTCCGATAATTTATGTAAACTCGCGGACGGATACACAATGTACTAGCCTTCTAAAGGGATCGCCCAAATGTTCAACCTTCCAATTGAAAAAAGCCTATGTTTATCCTAATTGTAAATAGCTTATAGTTAATAAACGGATATTTGTTATTGTTAAAATTGTTTGGTGATTCTTAAGTGCCGACCCGGCGGTCCAGAACTTNTATTATAAACGATTTCTTTACGTTGTAATTGTGCTTTTTCGAAAAGAATTTCTGCACTGTAACACGGATCAAATTCTTTTTTATTCCTCTCATTTAGGGGAAGGTGGTGCAAGATGGGGTCGTGGGGGAAGACGGGGACGTCTGTTTATTTGTGGTTAATCGCCTGGAAACATTTACAAAATGGGAGAGACGTTACCCATAATAAATTCATCAGTGTAATTAATAATCTATGATAATCTCTAATAATACAGAATTTTAATCACAAAAAAAGTAAATTAATAAGAGAATCATTCATCGAAATTATATTTCTTACCATTAATATTCTCATTCATATCGACGAGTAATTTTTATTATACATTTGAAAAAATGACGAATAATCTGAACGTGATGAATAAAATATATAAAATCAGCCAAAAGTCTCATGAGAAAACAGGAATAAAATGCAATTATATCTCTGGTTTCCAATTATTATTGTGCTTAAATCAGGCGCATTTAATTATTCTCTGATAATAATAAAATTCTATAACATTATTTCTGTGCATTGTTGTTTTCATTTTCGGCAAAATTTCTATAAATTACTATTTGAATTAAATTAATTAAAATCATTAATGGTGAGTACATAACCGTTATTTTGTGTAACACTTTTAATTTGGCAATGTCTTTTTAAAAATTCCTAACAGGACACTTTCAATTTTAATCTGGTATCGTACCTAAAGTACGTNATGTTTATCCTAATTGTAAATAGCTTATAGTTAATAAACGGATATTTGTTATTGTTAAAATTGTTTGGTGATTCTTAAGTGCCGACCCGGCGGTCCAGAACTTGTGATTGCTTTTAACCATAATAAATCCATCGCAGTGGTTTTTAACTTTAGTAGCTAATTTTTGTCATCGTGTTCTTTGTCATCAAGCACCTACTAGTACTGTACGTGTAGTTTGTTTAACCTTTAATATTTTTAAGCAAAACAAAAAAAACCCAAATGAGTTTTTCTTCATACATTTTATATCCTTGAAACATTTTTAAGTATGAAAATTCAATTTCTAGGAAAACTTCTAGAACTAACGTTCTTCAACATTAAAAATTGTTAATAAAAATGTTTAATGGCTACAACCCATATTTTAAAGTTACAAAGCACTGTGCGTTGTAAGGGGCCGTCCATAAATTACGTAAGGGCGATTTCGGCCATTCTAGACCCCCACCCACCCCTGTGTAAGAAAAAGTAATATTTTCTTTTTATCCCCCCTCCCCTTCCTATCTTACGTAATATTTTGGCATGATTTTATAGAAAGATTTTAAATTAACCAAAAAAATGTTTTTAATGAAACCCTAAACACATTAGGTCCAAAATATATAATTATTAACTAGTTAATTAATATGTACTAATATTTATAAAAGACTTTATGTGAACACATTTTAAAATATAAAAATTTAATGAATTCGAATGAACAATTTATTTTAAGAACTTTATTTTTTAATTATTAACAATATTATTATTATTATCATCATCATTAATCAACGTCATTATAATTGTTTTTATATTAATTTTAATGTTCGCAAAAGACGCAAAAAACTTTGTCAGATCGACTAGCTTGAGCATGTGTAAAAGAAACATCATACAAGATAAAACAAGAGAGAATAGAAAGAAACTATATTCCGTTGCCATATTGATTACATCTTGGCTAAGGCCAAGAAAATAAACTACATGCTGCTAAAATGTGTTAGGTGCACTTGGGGACTAAATAATAAAGCTTATAAAACTCTATATAATGGGGCAATACAACCAATGCTACTTTACGCGGCCTCTGGCTGTGATCATGTAACTAATAAAAGTTCAGTAGCAAGTAAATTACTCTCTCTTCAAAGCCAGTTTGACATCAGAATTTCAAAGTGCGGCAGAACAGTTTTTACTAATGCCTCTCTGATACTAGCGGAGCTTATTCCTTTGCCACTATGTATCGTAGAAAAGGTTCTAAACTACTACATCAGAACTACAAACGTCAAGGCTCAACAACAATCTCTACTCCTATCTACGGCTGTTCATACGCTACCACATTGCAATTACCCTACTATCTCTGATCATCATCCTGTGAACAAGGTTATTTGGTGTCATCTGCTTCCTCCATGGATAATCACGCAGACATTAATATCTTCACAGATGGGTCCAAAAGTTCACTTCTTTTCGGCTCAATTATCTGTATCTTCATCCAAACTGACATATTTTGCCAAAAATATGTTAGAAGGTACAGATACCTCCAACATACCTCCATCTATTAAGCTGAAGAAGATGCCGACTACCAAGCTGTTCAGTGGGCCACTTCACTACCAAACGAAACTCTGTCTATCAACATTTACAGTGATTCTCTGTCTGTCCTAAAAGCTCTATTAAATCCCAATTGCAATAGCAATAAAATCGCATATATCCAGCACCATATTAAAAACCATGTAAATAAGATAACTTCTATATTTGTTCCTGGCTATACTGGCATACTAGGAAATGAAAAAGACGACTTTGAGGCTAAGGACACTGATTTGGACTACATTCGCATCCCTCTCTCACGTAGCAGCCTTAAAAATTATATTCGTAACAACGTTATGCAAAAGTGGAACCAGTAAAAGTAGTTAAGCAGTAAAACTGGTAGAATAACAAGACTTTATTTTCCTAGTGTTGAATGCAGGTTCTCATCACTACTTAGAGATTTAACGTTTGCTACTGCTCAACTACTTACTGAGCATGGTAATTTTAGAAGCTACCAAGCGATGTATAACCGGGCAGAAACTGCTCCTTGCTTTTGTGTACAGAAAACCTAGACACCGTCGACTATATGATCTATCATTGTCCAATTTACGATCAACATACACTTATTCTGAGATTAGAAATTTTTACGCTTGGTTTCGGGTGGCCACGTCCACTCGATAAGCTTGTTCAGAAACCACTATTTCATGCTTTTTACAATGATGTTAAAAAATATGAAAGAAAAGACTATTTATAATTTCTGGTTTTACATTTTAGTTTTCACTGAAAGCCGAATACTAATTTTATGCTTACTTTGTATTATGCATTTTGGTTTATGTATTCTTAGTGTTATACAACCCAAAGGAATGGTGCACTTATTCTAATAAAAAACAAGAGAGAGAAACCACCACACGGCCTTTCTCCCATGACAGAAAATGTGTAGAGCGTAAATCTGCTAGCGTTATTACTCTATCACGTCACACGAGACAACCAGCGTTCTTAATAGAAACCGCCAAATTGAAGCCAAATTCAAAACGCCACCACTCAACGAGATCAAAAAATAAAAATAAGAATATTACGTAAGACGAGATCTATTACCCCCTACCCCTGAGTAAGAAATAGTAAGAAATCCTTTACCCCCACCCACCCCAAAACACCTTACGTAATTTATGGACGGCCCCTAACACCCTCCATCGTATCATGTATTCTTCTCTATTAATCAATTACACATGTACATAAATCAGTAAAATTACACCATGTTAATTCTACGTTGTAGAATCATTTTTTAATCAACGAAACTATTCTTTTTCGGTACATAAAAGCAATTGCTTTATATTCGATATCAAAGTTACAAAATGAAAAAAATAAAACTTCAAAAATTTCTTCTTTTTGTATTAAAAAAAATCTAAATACAAATATTAATAGGAATAAATACGTTTGTAAACATTTTCCTTCATAACGAAGAGCGTTATTCATTATTATTATGACATTTGATAATATGATTATTTAAATTACGTTTAAAACTGAACTTTTTTAAGCAACAAGTACACGAAAATGGCTTTTCCCCTGTATGCACTCGGAGATGCCGAATCAAATTTCCTTTCTGTGCAAAACTCCGTTTGCAATGATCACAGGTAAAGGGTTTTTCTCCGGTGTGAATGTTGACATGGGTACGAAGACTGCTGGATTGATTGAACCGACGATTACAGAATTTGCAAGACAAGAGTCCTTCTCCACTGTGAATCCTTCGATGACATACAAATCCTCGCTTCGAAATGAATATTTTCTTGCAACTATCACATTGATACTTCCCATTCTTTCTCTTCTCAATGTTTAAACCTGTAAAATAGGATAAATAAAAATATTAAAACCAGTGTTTAAAGACCAAAACTCTCAATTTATTCTAAATCAAATATCTAAATTTAAATCACACTGTTTTAAAAGTATTGTTAATGTTTAGGATGCAGATAGAAAATGAATTTTTGTTTTTGTGGTAATTTTCTTTTTTTTAAATTTGAATAAAATGTAAAGGTACTTATACGAAGAAAAACATTACACCAGAAACACTAACTATTCACACGTATTACCCAAACACTAAAACAATATCACAAATTAATAACAAATGTAATTTATACATTTTTTTTCTGCAAACAATTTATAAAAAGTGTATTTTGCAAAAACAAAATATTTGAAAAATAGTTTTAAAATATCTTCATTGATTTTTCTCTTTTTCTTCACTCGCATGAACAATGTTTTCCTTGTTGATATATTCTTGTAATGATTTTACAACACTGGCTTCAATTTTAGTGTTCCGTTAACGACAGAAGTCCAACTTATCCATCGACTATTCTAACAGGAATGTTTTTGATTGACGGGTAGTGAATCTGAAAGCAACAAAAGTCCCAAATGACATCAGATACGAGAATATCGTCACACATTACTTTCTAAGTTAAAATTTAAATATTTCAAAATTAAATTAGTAATTTTAGAAATTCTTCCGTGGACATTCATTTCAGGTCATAAAATTACGGCTCGGTTTAAAACGTGAAAATGGAAGTAATTCAAATTAATTTATTATATAAGTGTCTACTGGAACATATGGTATTAGTAGGACTTATTATAGTTGTGCCGGGTTCTGCGAATTGAGGATACTTATTCAGAAAAAACGATCTTTATTGTTCACTTTTTCAGCTGTACACACGTTGTGTTTCAAACCTCTCGGTCCTTTGTCAGCAGGTTTACTGCCATTACTTGTTAAAACAAGATTTCATAAAATGTTATATTTTCCCGACAATGATACGATTAAAATGACTTAGTTTTTTAGTGGATAATTACATTTAAATTAAAAAAGATCAACGTAAATTTGGTATTATATTTTCAAACAATAAACCTATATAAAATAAATAGATGAACAATACAGATTGTTTTTTCCGAATAAGTTTAAATTCACAGAACTCGGACACCTACTAATACGATATGTCCCAGTAGATACTTACATAATAAATTTTATGATAAAGACACAAAGGCATATGAATGAATTCAAATTAATTTTTCTTATCCAGCAACAGTATCCGTGTATTTCAAATGCTTATATATACTTTTATCTGTGATTTTTAAAAATAAGAAAATTAGGTGTAAATGTATTTTATGAAGAATTAACTTTCCTTCGGTTTTCCTATTTTACAGCTTTCATTGCAGAACTAAGTAATATAAACTGAATCATTTCTTGAAAAGTTTTTTTAATTAAAATTACCTTAGGAAAAAAGTAAAAATCTACTTACTAGTTTAATAAAGTTCAGACAAGAAAGACACAGAAAATACCAGAATACTTGTTACCACAGTCCACGAGAACGAGAATTCCATACATCATCAAATGTTACTTGAGAAGTTTCCTCTTCCTCTTCGTTAAAATCTTTCTTCTGTTTTTCTTTCTTTCTGGTGAAATCGTCAACGAGGTTTTCTCCTTTAATCAAGACTGTTAATTATGTTAAATTTAAAATAATCTACACCCAGATTATCGATTGTCGAAATATAATGGCGACAGTCAAAGGGTGGACAAAAGGACTAACCTGCCTGTGTAGACGAGAATTCCAAATGCTTGCATTCATTTTGTCGTACGGCTGAAATGACAACACAATCTCCACCCTCTCTGTCTTCTGGGACGCAAACAATCGTGGGTTAACAACAGAGTAAAATAAGACTTCTGTCGACTTTTTTTCTGTAACCAAAACAGAAATACGTCACTAGTGACGAGCGAAGATTCGTGCATTACACCTATTTATTTCCAGTTCTTTTTGGTAGCGACGAGTTACGAACCGATCCCAAGACGATGGGAAGTAAACGAACACCAAGAAAACAGCCAAATGAAACGTCTCCTTCGATTTCTTCGTAAAGGATTTAGCTCATCGGAAAACAATTTGAATCTATTCAGTACTTTTCATGAAAACATATTTTGCCCTTTCCCTAACCGAAATCTTCAAAAAATCCAGCAAGTGCATTGCTGGACATCGTTCAACCTAACTGTCAATTTTAAAAAAAGTGGCGCCATCTAATATTTAAAATTTAATGTCTAATTTATTTTTCAGAATTTGTGAGTCTAAAATTCCTGGAAATAATCTTTCATTCATCTTTCATCTTTTAATTAATGTTAAAAAAATAAATTCTCTCGAAAGTATTATAAATAATTATTTTGAATTCAAATATTCACGCACCATCAAAATCGGTGGTAAAATGTGAACAATCCGAGGACAATCCACATTTGAATCCGTAAATTTTAATGATTTTTAATTACGGAATTATTCGATTCATTCTTTTCCATTCTCAAACGGGAGGACCGATCTCTTCAAAATTCAGCAATAATCTTCGTAAGCGAAATTACATTCGGTTTAATACCCGCGTGTGATGTAATATTTCTATCATTTTTCGAAAAGAGTAAACTTTTTAACTCACCCAGTAAAATGTTCTTCTACTTAAAAAGACGAAAGACCGAGAACTTTTCTTTTGTTTCTCCTCGGGAGAATTGGCCTACTCCAAAATAAATAAACAACACAAAATCTATTTCGTCTTCTTTCTAGTCGTCAGTTCAAACGTCTTTTAGCGATTCCGTTGTAACGGAACATTTTCCAAACTGGAAGAAAAACAGTGGCGCCGTCTGTAATTTAATTGAAAGAAATTTTCATTTTTGTAAATATTTTTATCATAAAATTAACCGTCAAATTTTCAATGCCGTTTTACTTTAATACAGTTTATCAGGAATAATATCGTATTAAAACTTCACTACAAATAAATACAGTAGACCCCCCCCATAACGCTTAGATACCTAGATTATCACACGACTTATTGCTAGTGCTGAGCGATTACCTAAAAAATGAAAATCGATTACAGAAATCGATTAGGATCGATTACCACATTTTTAATAATTAAGTTTAATAATTAAGTTTATTAAGTTAGTAAAACACTATTATTTTTACTCGCAGGTTTTACATTTTTATAGAACATTTATTAATTTGTAATTGAAAATTTACACAATATTACAAAACAAACTATATCGAAAAAGAAAGTATATCATTAAACTCAAAGCTACTCATAATAGCAAGTTTCTCAACTCTTTTTGGATGCAATGCACATTGTTTCTTTGTAACAATATTTCCAAGTTTTCAAAAAAGACGTTCTGCATGTACTGAGGTTGCTGGAATACCTAAATATGTAACAGCCAGTTTCGCGAGGTGATAATTGAAATGGGCAAACGTTTACTGCATTGTAACAAGAGGATCAACGTGGTGTGGTATAGTTACAGCTTCTAAGTAAGTTTTAAATGTAGTACAAAAACCTTCTTTAGATTTTATGGGATTTTTTATTTCCTTATGTGACCGTAGACTATTCTCATCTGTGCTTTTAGTGGTTTCACTTAAGGTTTCCACGCAGTCTACTTCATATTTAATCTGCCGGGATAGATAGTTATTGATGAAAGATTTGCATTTACAGCACGTACAGTAGACCCCTATAATTACGGTTCCTATAATTACGATTCCTATAAAACTGCGAAAAAATTGCGACGGTATCCGTAAAAAAGGTAAAAAAAACTCCTATAATTACGTAAAACGTCATCGGGCAGCCGAACTACTTTCTGCCGTCCGTTTAGGCGGGTAAATTGAGTTTAGTTTCGTCTGTACATATAATTATATATAAATTAAGTACTGTACATATAATTATATATAAATTAGGTACTGTATATATAATTATATATTAACTTAATTTATTGTAACTTTATTATACAGTACACCCCCTATAAGATCATAGATACGTTCCATTCTTTAGGAATCCGATTTCTTACGAGTCCTTCCAATCACAGCCCGACACGTGTGAAGTTTACGGACTACGGCTGATTGAAAGGTTTTCTTCCATAAAATTAATCGATTCTAGACTAATCCGACTCAACATTTCCAAAATACGTATATTATTTTTGGGAATAATCCGTATAAACTACGCTATAAACAAAAAATTGTAGGATTACTTACCGAGTGTGCACCATTCGACATCGC